AGGAAGGAAGGAAGGAAGGAAGGAAGGAAGGAAGGAAGGAAGGAAGGGAGGGAAAATAGCAATAGCACTTAGACTTATATACCACTTTACAGTGGTTCATAGCCCTCTCTAAGCAATTTACAGAGTCTGCCTCTTGCCCCCAACAATCTGGGTCCTCATTTTACCCACTTTAGAAGGACAGAAGATTTAGTCACCCTTGAGCTGGTGGCTAAACTCCAGACTGTGAGCAGAGTTAGGCTGCAATCCTGCATTTTAACAGGAAGGAAGGAAGGAAGGGAGGGAGGGAGGGAGGGAGGGAGGGAGGAAAAAATAGCAATAGCACTTAGACTTATATACCGCTTCATAGTGCTTTACAGCCCCTCTCTCCACGGTTTATAATCTGGGTCCTCATTTTACCCACCTGTGAAGGACAGAAGGCCGAGTCAACCTAAAGCCTCGTGAGATTCAAAATGTCAAATTGCAGGCAGCCGGCCATCAGCAGAAGTCACTTGCAGTATTGCACTGGGTTTTTAACAATGTTTGCAAACGATGTGCCTCTGAAACAAGCTTTGCTCTCTCTCTCCGCATTGCAGGCCTGGGATGTCACGGTGCGCACCTGCGCATACACCAACCACACCGTGCTGCCAGAGGCGCTGGAGCGCTGGCCCGTCCACCTCTTTGAGACCCTCCTGCCGCGTCACTTGGAGATCATCTATGAAATCAACCAGCGTTTCCTCGATGTGAGTGCAATCCCACCCTCCCGGAAGGTTCATTGGGGACAAATGTCTCATATTTTGGGCAGTCAGATAGATCAAGGTAGACTGCTCCTGGATAGGGATATAGGATCAAAATCAGGTGTAAGGGTTAGTTCCACTTTAGAAGGCCTTGCTAAGGCCACACTTGGGAAGACTGAGTCCACGCTATATAAACAAATGTGGAGACTCTGGAAAGAGCGCAGAGAAGAGCAACAAAGAGGATTAGAAGAATGGAGGCTACAACATACGATGAATGGTTGCAGGAACTGGGCCTGGCTAGTCTAGTGAAGAGAAGGACCAGGGGAGGCAGGAGAGCATCTTCCAATATTTGAGGGTCTGCCACAGAGAGGATAAACCTATTCTCCAAAGCACCAGATGATCTCTTGCCCCAACCTTCTGGCCCAAAGCCCCAAAGGGACTTACATACCGCTTCACAGAGCTTTTCAGCCCTCTCTAAGTGGTTTACAGAGTCAGCCCATTGCCCCCAACAATCTGGGTCCTCCTTTTACCCACCTTGGAAGGATGAGTCAATCTTGAGCATGGTCAGACTCGAACTGCTGGCAGTCAGCAGAAGTCGCCTGCAGTACTGCAATCTAACCACTGCCACCATGGCTCTTAAAACATACCAAGAGCGGTTGTGGAATTGGGCATGTCTAGGGGAGATAAGGGACGCGGGGGGCTCAGTGGCTAAGACGTTGAGCTTGTCGATCAGGAAGGTAAGCAGTTCAGCGGTTCGAATCCCCAGCGCCCCGTAACGGAGTGAGCTCCCGTTACTTGTCCCAGCTTCTGCCAACCTAGCAGTTCGAAAGCAGGTAAAAAATGCAAGTAGAAAAATAGGAACCACCTTTGGTGGGAAGGGAACAGCGTTCTGTGCGCCTTCGGCGTTGAGTCATGCCGGCCACAGGACCACGGAGACGTCTTCGGACAGCGCTGGCTCTTCGGCTTTGAAACGAAGATTAGCGTCGCCCCCTAGAATCGAGAACGACTAGCACAGATGTGCGAGGGGAACCTTTACCTTTCAGGGGAGATACGACAGCAGTTTCCCAACATTTAAGGGGCTGCTACAAAGAAGAGGGGGGATCAACCTATTTTTCCAAAGCACCAGAAGGCAAGACAAGAAACAATGGATGGAAATTAACCCAGGAGAGTAGCAACCTAGAATTAAGGAGAAATTCCCAACAGAGAGAGGCGTCAAGCAATAGTTTGCCTTCAGAAGTTGGGGGTGTTCCATCATCAGATATTTTAAAGAAGAAGTTGGACACCCATTTGTCTGAAATGTTATAGTGTCTCCTGCTTCAGCAGTGGGTTGGACTAGAAGACCTCCAAGGTCCCTTCCAAGTCTGTTATTGTGTGTTCTAAGGACCTGGACAGCCAGCCAGCCAGCCAAACCCATTGCTTAGCTACTCCATTCCAGCTGGCTCTCTGTTCTCTTCTTTCTCCTGCCTTCTCTTTGGGTCCCTCAAGGAGGCCTCGTGTTCTCCAGCTGTTTCCAGGGATCACGGTTGCATTCCCACAACATAAAATAACCGTGCAAAGGCACACACAAGGCTGTGTGTGAATCTGGTCATTTGCAACGATTGCCCTAACAGCGTCTTTGCGGTGTGTGTGTGTCTGTCCATGTCTTCTGCAGAGAGTCTATGCCACCTTCCCGGGAGACCTCGACCGGATGCGCCGCATGTCCATGGTGGAAGAAGGCAGCGTCAAACGGATCAACATGGCGCACCTCTGCATTGTGGGCTCCCATGCGGTCAACGGAGTCGCCTGGATCCATTCTGAGATCCTGAAGGCCACCGTGTAGGTATCTGGAGTCCCAGGGAGATGGAGGGAGTGCGGGAGGGGGATTTCTCCCACCATCGGGGGACAAGCAAGAGGAGAGCAGACTGGACCCTTGTGCAAACCTGGCACAATGGACTCTCTTGTGCAAAAGAAGGGTTGTGCAGCCCACGAAAGTGCAACCGGAAGGAACAAAAAGGGTTAGCTCTCTTCTCTTGAAACTGAACAGGTGCCAGAATATAGAAGGTCCTTGACGTAGGACCAACTGAGCCCAAAATTTCCATGGTTCAACAAGACCGATGTTGAGTTTTGCCTTTCAGTTGTTAAGTGGAATCACTGCGGTTGTTGAGTTAGTAACATGGTCGTTAAGTGAATTTGGCTTCCCCATGGGCTTTGCTTGTCAGAGGGTCGCAAAAGCGGATCGCATGGCCACCGTCATAAATACAGGCCGAGTGTCACACGACTCTGCAGTTGCTGTAATACAGGCTGTCCTCAACGTACGACCGC